AAATTCGCGATGCTTTTGTTCATAAGCAATTTTTTCTGTCTGTGTTCCTCGATATGGAAAAGGCATATGACACTGCATGGCGCTTCGGCATATTGCGAGACCTGTCACATTTAGGTGTGCGGGGTAGAATGCTGACAGTTATCGAAAGCTACCTGTCCAACCGTACATTCCGTGTCCAAGTTGGCACCGTCTTATCTCGAGTATTTGTCCAAGAAACAGGAGTGCCACAAGGAGGTGTATTGAGCTGTACACTTTTCATAGTTAAAATGAATTCCTTGCACCTGTCTCTCCCACGAAATATTTTTTACTGCATATATGTCGATGATGTGCAGATTGGTTACAAATCTTGCAACATCTCAATGTGCCAACGTCAAGTTCAACTAGGGTTGAACAAGGTATCTCAATGGGCAAACGAGAATGGTTTTATACTCAACGCGCAAAAGAGCACTTGTGTCTTGTTCAGCCGAAAGAGGGGCCTCCATCCTGACCCCGACATTGACCTGCATGGTCAACCTCTGTCAGTGAAGACCGAGCACAAGTTTCTTGGTCTCATATTAGACACTAAGCTAACCTTCATCCCACACATCAAGTATTTAAGGGACAGGTGCTTAAAAACAATGAACATTTTGAAAGTGTTGTCACGCACTACATGGGGTAGCGACAGGAAATGTTTAATTAACTTATATAAAAGTCTCGTACGCACACGCCTAGATTACGGTGCTATAATTTATCAGTCGGCAACACCATCAGCCTTGAAAATTCTCGACCCTGTCCACCATCTAGGCATTCGCCTCTCTACGGGTGCTTTCCGCACCAGCCCTGTGGAGAGCCTGTACGTGGATTCGAATGAATGGTCGCTCCACCTACAAAGATGTTCCCTGTCCTTTTTGTACTTTTTGAAGGTGAAGGCAGACAAGAAACACCCTTCCCATTTCATAATTAATGATTTGTCTTGTTCTGGCTTGTTCGAGAACCGTCCTTCGTTTAGGCAGCCCTACGCGCTGCGTGTAAGGAGCCTGGCCGAAGAAACAGGTGTGCCTCTTCTTGAACCCAGTTTGATGGCTCCTGCAACATATCTGCCACCGTGGCAGTGGCAGCTTATAGACTGTGATATCTCTTTTGTTGATGTCACAAAGCACGCACCACTTGCACACATACATACATACTTCCTAGAACTACAACATAAATACACATGCCCTGAGTTCTTTACCGATGCGTCAAAGTCAAACACTTCTGCGTCATATGCAGCGGTAGGCCAATCCTTTTCCGAGGCAGGCGTTCTTCATCCTAATGCAAGCATCTTCACAGGAGAAGCTTACGCAATACTGGCGGTCGTAAAACACATTAAACAGATAAAATTACAAAAGGCGGTAATATACACAGATTCCCTAAGCGTGGTCAAAGCCCTGAAAACTCCTAAAAAACACAAGAACCCCGTGCTGGTGTCACTCTACTCACTTCTGTGCACACTCTACACATCAAAACAGCATGTTGTTGTCTGCTGGGTTCCAGGGCACCGTGAAATACAAGGAAACGTGTTGGCCGACAATCTGGCTGCTTGCGCCAATGTCACTACTGCCAATGCATCAACACCAGTCCCTGCACTTGACTTAAAACCTTTTATAAAACGAAAGCTCAGGGAGTATTGGCAGAAGATGTGGGATAAACACACAGATAATAAACTCCATGCTATTAAACCGCAACTAGGTTATTGGCCGCCACTATCAAAGTCACGACACACAGAAGTAATACTAACAAGGCTTAGAACAGGACACACACATTCCACACACTCATTTCTTCTGTCTTCCGGTGATCCACCATATTGTGAGAGATGTGGAGACCCCTTACGGTTCTCCACATTCTTGTCCAGTGCAATGAGCTAGATGCTCTAAGAAAAAAGCACTTTTTACTGCCCTACCGACAGCAGCTCCCTCTACACCCTGGGATGCTCATCGGTAGGGATCCGCTTTTTAAACCACAAACACTTTTTACGTTTTTAAAAGATGTGCAAAGCTTTCACCCGATATTTCGAGGTCACCCGTAGCACGACCTCTATAGTGTGGTCGTGGCTGCGGTGACTATATTTTCACCATAGTTTTATTATCATGACATTTTGCCATCAGCTATCACCACACATATGTCACGCCACTGTCATAATTTTATTACTTTCATGTTTTAACCCGCGTTAGAGCGAGGAATTTTAAGGCCCCTTTACAGCCACGCACCATATCATTGTTCATATCTGTAGTCAATTGAAATGGCGCTCTTTGGCCATCAATTGGCCCTTGCGCCACTAAAATCTACTCATCATCATCAAAGCTAATTCAACCTCGCAGAAAAATGCGTGAACATGCGGGCAGATTTGTTGCACCTTGCAGTGCTCATTGAAATAAAGCTTTAAAACAACATTTACCATCAACATTTACTCCTGGATGATAGCACCAGCTGTAGCCATAATAACCATTAATTGCAGCTCTAACAGAGAAATCTGCACAAGAACAGATGCAGAACACCTGCAAATTGAAAATGAATACCGATAAATGCATTGACATATATTTTGGCCATACATCTAATGAATAGGTGCTTACCTTTGATTTGACCACAGTGTCTGCTTATTCCCATCTTAGGCTAGTCTTGTTGAGCTGCTCGAGCTGCCGCACAAAGGCTTGCAGCACAAGGGTCATATCCAGGTGTTCTTTCCCGTACCATAGCACTGGCGTCATGATGTTGTTCCACCTCAGTCCCGGCGGCAGCTCATTCAAGGCAAGCTGAACAGGCCATATGCTGTAACTTGAAGAATTAAATACAGGACTTCTATTGGAGTTTATAGTCACCGTAATATCGCTCTCGTTCATGTTCTGCCGCACTTTCTGGTAATGAGCACCGTCGGTGACGTCGCTCATTGCGCTTTCACTGCTGTGCTTGCGATTGAGTGAGCTCATAACAGCAGAGCCAACTGTCTTGCTAGACAGGATAGAGGCAAGCTGCTTCTTAATCGGCATACTCACAAAAAACTTCCAACATGTACAAGGTCACCACCTGAGTACTGAGTACGGCACATGTTGCACACAATGTGAAGGGGTTTTCTCTCGTCGAGGTTGCCCTTCGTATCTGCAAGATGCAACCTGCAGTGCGAGCAATACAAGTGGAACACCACATCATCCATGTCGACGCCACAGACTTTCTTGAAGAGGTACCTGCTTTGAGGAAATGGTTTTTGCTCAAGGAGGTTATTAAACAACTTTTGAATCTCCTCACTCGCAGTCCACGATAAGCCGAACCTCACAGCAATGCCCAGGAGCATCATATAGGCATCTCCATGAGTGAGGCGTCCACCTTCAATAAACGGAAGCGCCAGATCTTCAACATCGAATGAGTCGCATGGCTTGTCAAACAAGTCTTCGTAGTCGGAGAACGACGTGCCGCACGGGGATGCCACGCGTTCACTGTCTTCACTGGCACAGTCACCGTAGTCATCGTCAGTGTTACCCGTGAGCTCAAAGTCGTCGTGATCTGTATCAGTACACAGCCACGAACTTTGGCTCTCATTATCAGAGTTGCTGATCACTTGAGGGAGAAGGCCGCCCTTGAGGGAGAAGGCCCCGAAACTGATGTCCGACGCGATGGTTGTGAACTACCACTACCGCTGGCAGAACTCAAAAGCCTCTACTTTGTAGCCCTCGGAACAGAAGCAGTAGACTCTGGATCCAGGTACACCTTTCTTATTTTCTATGACGCCATGTTCTACTAGTAGAATAGACTACAAAATCATTTGGCATGCACACAACAAAGCCACCGAACACCGACGGCACAGTCAGCTGGATTTCCTCGTCTCATTCAAGAGAGAGCCGCTCCGCACTCGCGTTAACTATTCATAAATTTGTTTGTGTTCTGATGTCGCTTTGTATTTTATTTTTTGTAAATATGGCAAATTATTCAAAACATAACTTTAGTAGAAATATTTAGTGTGCGTACTTGAATATGTGAAAACAGCCAAAGTTACTCTGCAGCCCAACACACCCCCTCCGTTTGTGTTCAGCCATTTGGAATTTTTTCGTGTTTTGTGTGCGGCCCAGCGCGGTTCGTTATGGTTGTACTTTGCAATTCTTAGCTTTTAGCCATCTCAAAAATTTTTCGTGAGGTTTGCACTGGTAAGATTTATCGGAGATGACACGGACAAGCGTCGGTATATTATTCCAGTTGCTGACATTGAAGACTTCTATCCAGTGAACAAAGACTATTTCAGTAACAGGACTGTCTATCATGCCAAATGGCACGATCCTGACGATGACGAAAATGACGGGACATACAGCATCCAGATTTTGAGACTGGCTGGTGAGCGCTCAAGTTGACGATATTTCTCTTCTTCCTTTTGACTTATGCGGCATGGTAATTAAATTATGCGTGTATTACAAATCTTTTCTGTTCGTGATCAGGATCATGGTGAGAACCTGTCTTCCTACCGAAACTTCGTAGAAAAATAGCCATATGTATTCAAAAGTGCCCCGTGAATTAACGTTCATTTAGTACAAATAACTAGTAGTGTGTACAGAGGGTCCCGCGTCAGGTCTGATTCAAGAAAAGCAGTCCATTGCGTTCAGTACGTTGCAATGAGTTCGGTTTGCATTGAGTGAGGAAATGTCTGTTTTAGAGCAACGCGCGAGCAAGCCGGTAATTTTAATTGAAGAATAAGCGTCGATCGAAGGCAGAATATACCCATTTGTTTGCCTTTTGTTGCAAAGTGTCCTGATGGAGGACGTTTCGTGCTGTCTTGCAGAGACCGAAGACATGGAGGAGAAAATCAAGCACAAAAGGGTCAAAATCCCTCACTAAGCCTATCTGACGTGGACGACTCTGATGACATCTCACACAAAAAGAAAGTTTTGAGGCAGGTAGGTAGTTTTGGTTTATGTAAACAACTCACATATAATTTTATTTTGCCATATTCTGCGATATCTGTGCATACATGCATGTTACTTCTTGCAGGAGTCAAAGAAAAAAAGCGGTAGCCGGGCGGCGTCAAAAAAATGACGGTTCGATGATGTTCTGCGCCAGCACGCACTCCATGCCCTACAGTTAAATTCTGCAGTGTCAAGTAGAGCATCACCTTTAAAGGTGAGCCGTAATACTCTGTTTCTAGCTTAAAGGGACTGACAACGTATTTTTCATTGACCCCCCTTTTTTTTCGGTGCAACAGAAAGCTCATCCTTCATAATGCTTCTAGCTGCAGCAGTTGACCTGAAGAGTGCGCTTGTTTTTTAAGCACCATTTTTCGACCTGAAAAGCAACCATAAATGTAGGAAGGCATCCTACAGCAACGCTGTGAAGTGATAGTGATGCCAGCAGCCTTCCCCGCAAACTCTTTAATTAAGTTCAAGCTTGTGCTTTCACAGGAGTGGGTAAAACTGTGGTTAAGAGCTTAATTTTCTATTGACATTTTCAAATGTCGTTGATATAGGAAGCAGGTGGCATAAGTTTTCTAAACGCTCATAATTACGGGAGGTCCCTGGGGGTGGTGCTTTATTTGACCAAGGGATTCAGGCATGTACATCCCAGGGTCCCTGCATGACCCCCACTGCGCTATGCGTTCACGAGTCCATGTAGTTTGAGGTCCCTGTACCACATTGCGAGCCATGCACTCATGGCCTCAGCGATGGATCCTTGTTTAATGAGAAAAACCAAGTTCCTTTCAGAGAGTACACTGGACAGTCTTTTCAATAATGGGGTTATTTCGGTTCGTGTTTGAACTGGTTGTCTGTCTGTGGCAGTTCTGACAGTCTATCAAAATCTCCCAGGATCGCGTAGAAGATAGCTGCAAGAGGCAGCCCCAGACAAGCCACAAGGTCTCACTCACTGCTTCCCAGTCTTCTAAGAAGGTAACAATGTCATTATATTTTTTTTGTTAGTCTTTGTGCTTTCAGATTTTTGCATCTAGTATAGATCCCTTGTTTCACAAGATTATTTTTTATGGCTACTGGTAATGCACTGCTTTTTTTTCCTTCCCCTACTCAAGAGGAAGACATCAGACACGCCAAGCACATCTGACTTGGAGGACAATTTAGTCCAAAGCAAAGTTATTGACGCAAGTAAAGAAGCTAAATTTTGGAAAGTGCAGTATCGCCTTCAGTTTCAGCATAATGCTACACTGAAAAAGAGGTGGCATTTTTGCAAGATGCCGTGAGAGCACAATTCGCTTCATGTGGGTTATGTTTTTACTGGATTTTCTTTCTGCATGCTGTGTGTCACCTGTTTGAATTTAAGCATTAATATATGCATTTGTCTTTACTCAGTTAAGGACATGCTGGTAGAGATGCCAAGGACCAGAGGTAAGCATTTGGCATTTTAACAGAAGAATATGAAGGAACATATTATGTATTCCTTTTGTCAGCCCTGTACATAGCACAAGTGCTAGCATATAGAGGGGGCTAATGTTTTTTGTGTTTTTTAAAATTGCATCAACAAAATTTTTGTCAGAATCGTTAAACATGTCATATTCATACGGCACCCTTAAAATGCGTTTCCAGGGGACTGTTTGAAATCATTTGGGGTTCATTGCAGGAGCAGCTTGAACTTACACTGAACTGGCGCACATTAGCATAAGATCTAAATGGCATATTTTGGCTGGGGGAGAACTCTTTGCCACTAATTGTGGTTTGCAGCTGTTTGGTGTGCTGTGAAGTATAGCTTTATGTTTTGCTTTTAAATGGACACTGGCGTGGCTGTGGATTCAAGGGAGCTGCAGAGAGGCATGGTCACAACTGTCACCACCAGTGGTTGTGTGTGTAGTAAGAGTATGGCATCTTATAGTACACCTCGCAATTGTTGAAAACTGAGAGTAAAAGTTCTGCAGCACATTATTTTGCAAGCATGCTCAAGCAAACTACATGTTAATGTAGGTCGGTTATTTGTTTGCAACTTCCATTGCAATAAATTGGTGTTTGTAATGTTGAGGAGATATTTGTTGTTCTGTAATAGATACCTTGGGCTTGCTATTTGAACACAGACATCACTGCACTTCATCATCGTCTTCCTATTTCATGACTAGTGCTGGTTGAGGCCCTCTCACTGAGTCTTAATTTACTATATTTTGTGCAAGTTAAGTTCACTTTGTGCCTGCAAAGTGCTTAGTTCTTCTTAACTTCTAGGATGCCACCATACTTAATTGCCTTTGCCATTATTTGTATTTTCTGGTATTTTGCCAGCCCCAGTCAATTTTTATGCTTAATGTCAGCTCAAATATAATTTTCTCGTGTTTGTTTTCTGGTCCATTCTAGTATTCTGAACTCAACTTTACTGCTATAATTTGCTGCTCTATGACAGCCTGCATAACAATTTGGTTCTTTGTTTCAGTTCTCAACCTTTTTCATGATCCTCCAGGCTTTAGCTCAATATGTTGTTAGTCGTCACATGCAGTGGTTGTACACATTTTGCTGCAGGGACAGTAGCTCCAGTTTCCGAAGCCACAACTTCTAGGCTAAACCTGGATGCAGCTGAAATGCAAAGGAATTGTTCACAAGGTATGAACCTCTATTTTGAACTAATTATCACCAGATATTAATCCAAGACTCCCATGCATTGTGGTATAGGGGGTGTGTCTACAGCGCCTGCGGAGAACCACTCATTGGTAGAAGCTGTTGCTAGCGAAGTGCATCAAGACGGTGGTAATGTTCATTTGCAGTTGAGTTATGGATACTTTTTGAAAATCATGCTTTTTCTCTGCAGCTGATGGCACGCACGACAGCACGCACAACAATGGGGCAGAATTCGCCGCTACTCCTGAGGGCCTTGTAAGTAGCATACTTATATGTATAATAAGCCGAGAATGGGCTAGTCGTTGAAACATTAAAGCTTTTTTACGCAAAACTGCAAAGAATACTGACACGGCTAAAAACACACGAAATATCAGCAGAAACTAGCAACAGTTTAAGGCAGTGATGAATAGGAACTATATATTCCATGTTTTTCAAGAGTGCTTTGTTTTTTGTTTAGTTGAACCTTTGCAAGGGGATAATGATTAATGCCGAGCAGGCCACCAAGATATTTAACAACAAGACCGTGACAATTGTTGTGCGGGACTGTGTGCAAGCCATTTGGGGAGAGGAAGCTCTAGCCTGCAAGACTGTTAGTGGTTGTTCTGTGCCCGTGGAAGAGACGAAGCAGCTTACTCCACAAAAAGTGCACGATGTGAACGGTGAGCATATTTGTTTTGTTGAAAAGCTGTGTATCTTTTTGTTTATCTATGGCCTTTTCTTTTTTGAAGAATGCTTGGCCTATTGGGCAAATAGAAAAAAAGAAGATGTCACAGTGGCTAAACATAAGCTCCAGTGCATACTAAGCCAGAAGATTAAAGATGTGAAAAGGAAGCTGAAGCAGGGGAAAGTATAATATCAAAGGCATATAATAAAGTGTATTTCTGGAACCTGGCCTCTTTTTTGCATCAGAAAAATCACTATTTTAATGAGAACATCACGCTTCTTACGATATGAGAATGCTTCAAATTTTTTGCCAAGAATAGCTCCCATTTCGTGCCGGTATGTCATTTGTTTCTGGCTGGAACAACTTGTTACCAGCTAGAACGACTTTTATTACCGGCCAGAATGATTTCCATTTCCGGCTAGAACGATCCCATTTCTGGCTAGAATCATTTCCATTTCTGGCTAGAATTATTTCCACTTCTGGTTAGGATGGTTTCCATTTCTTGCTGGAATGAGCTTCATTTCCAGCCAGAACGGCTTACATTCCGGCCAGGTAAATTCTGGCTGGAATCAATTTCTTGTCTCATAATCCGGCCAGAACTGGAAATTTTTCCAGCAGGGAGTGCATGAAGAACAGAGTAGATAATCTGCATGCAGAGCTTTCAAACACCTCTTTTGAATTTATTTGTGCTGTCAAAAACTTCAAAACACAAAAGCTTGTGCCACGACAGTACTGTGACAGGTGCAGTTTATATGGATTTATAGTGTCAAAAAGCCCAGCAGGGACTGGAGGTGAATGGCTGTGTACGAGTTCATGTTCACTTTTTCATCTTCTGTACCGCTGTACTACCATAAGATGTTATTTACCATAAGATGTTAATTTCTCTAAATGCAAAATGCCCTCCTCCTCAAGTGCCGAGCTGCATGTTTTTGCAGCAGGAATGAGGAGTCAGACAGGAAATAAAGGTAGCAAGATTAATACAAATTTAAGTGGTGCAGATGCTGAATAAAAAGATTGTTAATCGAATGAACTCTTGTATACTTCTTCCACACAATGCATGTGCTGAGCTACCCTTTCAGTCATGGCTACATTGGCCATCTTCGCCGGATTCTTTCTTATATTGTGTTATAGGTATGTCCCTGCAAGTGTTAGCACTTGTGAAAGAGGTAACATATGCTTCTAACTGCATTATCTATGTAGTTTAAAACCTGAATTTTTTGGTATTCTTCAACAGCATGAGAACTGTCATTAAAGGATACACAACAGCCACCATGGCCATTAGTGGCAAAGGCAAGCACATTCAAAGGGAGACAGTTAATATCAGTTAATATCAGTTGGCCGAATTTCTGACCTCTTTGTTTTTTAGCTGTAGATGCCTCTAGTAAAAATGATTACATTTCTGCAGTGAAAAGTTTGGTGGCCTGTATTACAAGTTTCTAAATATTTTTTACTAGGAGATGCTGTTATGTCTGTGATGCATAATATGGCAGCCCATTACTAGGATAACCCTTGCAAGCTGATTACACAGGTAAGTAAAAAAGTGTGTGAGTACAATATATTTTTAGAAGGCTGTTACTGAAAAGCATTTAGCAAAATACTCTGATCTGAATGAGTGGCAAACACTACGTGTTGACTGCATTCATAAAATAAGTCATTTTAACCATTGCTGTAAACAAAAGACAAACCACAATGCATAAAATTAAAAAATTATAGCACATGGGAACCTGCAGCATTTAATCTAGAAAAAAATGCTAGACATAATAAGAGCCTGAAGATATCACTTAACGTCTACTCGTATGCTTTTAATAAAACTTCTGTTGGGCTAAATTAGTACATAGAATTTAAGCCAAAACCTCACCACAAACTAGAAATGGCGACGAAGAATAGATGACGCATCCACTGGCATTGGCTCAGAACTGCTTTGTTCTTCTTGGAACAATGCCATGGGCACATATCCTACCTAGCATGTGCATGCATAACAAAATGTTTAGCATTGTTAACAACAGAGAGATTGAACGGCGATGCACACGTTTCAACTCGAATTCAAAGAGGTATACAGGTATCACTGATGCAGTTGTCTCTCTTTTTCGTCGTAGTATCCTTCAGGACGAGCTGCGTGTGCTCATCCTTGCTTTTGTTGAAAATCTACATCTCAAGAAACTGCAGTGCACAACTGCAGCAGTTGTTAGGATGAAGAAAAAAATGTGCTCTTTTGTGAACAGTATTATTTATTTTCTGTGCACGGTTCTCTACGTCTTTCATTTATACTGTGCCCATTTGATGTCTTGCAACAGGACAGTAGTATGGTATTTACTACACATATGCTGTTGGAACATAGGAGACACCTTGCTTGATTTGCCATCCATGCCTGTTACCACCGCTTGTGTGAAACCACAGCTGAGCAAGCCTGTTCAGTGTAAAAAAGTGTTAAAGGGGATATCGTGCCTTCTAGCAACTCTTCAGAACTAATGTGTTGCCAAATAATGTCAAAGCACCACATACGACATGAATGGTTCTTGTTCACATGTTGCCTTCCTCTTACTGGTTTTTCCTTTTTGAATGAAAGTTTCAGGAACAGCTGTATGTAGCGTCATATTGTTGTATGCAACCAAATTGTGGTGTAGTAGATAAATGTCAAAACTCGGCACTTCATGCCGAGTCGAACTTTTGAAAGCAGATTTCATACATGACACAATTATTCTTTTCACAAACTTCTAATGGGCTGACTTAAATGACACAGGCATAGGTATCCAGCTTCGTTGATGGTGTTTAGTGCAGACTTATCACTACAGGGCAAGACGAAGGGGGACACATGCAAGCACTTGTGTGTGTGCAAAGTTCAAGGTGTCCTCCTTCCTCTTATCCAATTTTGTCAAGTCTGCACTGAACATAACAAGGCCAGAAGTCAGCCTGTGCCAACAGCTTGTGTGATTTATGTCAGCCCATCCGAAAGTTATTAAAAGAGAAATTGTGTTGTCATGTATGAAATCTGCTTTCAAAAGCTTGTGTCAGTGTAAAATGCAGTAGACCATTAACATTCAGGTACTACATCATGTTTCTGCTGCAAGCTATCCTATATTGCTCCTAATAGCGGTTACCGAAGGCGCGATTAAAAAAAAAATGCAGAGGGTGATGTGTGAATGTGAACTGTTGGGTCAGTTGTGGCGCCTTACATTCATGCTGTCACACATCAACCCAAGAGAGCTGTTAGCACCTATGATATCCCCATGGCTTCTAAATGCAAAGCATTTCTTAGCGAACTTCAGCTGACTTTGAGCGTATCTATCTGTCTATCTATCCATCTAGCTGTTCACGACTTTCACCTCTTTTGGTCGTTTTGATAATGGTATCGATACCAAAAGGGGTATGGCATAACATGACCGTATGACGAGCATAACTGATTAGTCATAACATGAAAATCATGACATAAATGTCATGAATGTCATAGTTTACATTTCACAGGTCTTGCTGCTCTTGTGGTGGTTTCATTCACATGACATTTTGCAAAACTGGTATGGTGTGCCATAACTGCATGGCGAACATAAGTGACAGACCCTAACGGGGAAATCATGACGTACATGTCATGATTTTCATGTTATGGCTAGTCATGACTATACGCCACGCTCATGGAGCGCTTGCGGTCGTTTCACTAGCTTCACATATATTAAATTTGGTATTACAGGTCATGATGAGATAATGAAAGTACGTGACTGGTGCAAATATAACCATGAAATGAGTGTCATGTAAGAACATGACAATATACCATGCTCATGATGCACTCGTGGCTATTTTGCTAGCTACACAAATACCAAATTCAATATTACGAGATAAGAATGGACAACGAAGGTAAATGGCACTTCCAAACATAATCATGACATGCATGTCATGCAAAACATGACTACATACTACGCTCATAGTGCACTCACAGCCGTTTCGCTAGCTCCACATACACCAAATTTGGTATCACATGATGTGAATAGATGACAAAGGTAAATAATACATTTAAATGTTATAATCATGATATGTCTGTCATGTGAAACATGAATACATGCTACGCTCATAGCGTGCTCGCGGCTGTTTCGCTAGCTCCAGATACACCAAATTGGGTATCAGGTGACATGAATAGACGACGAAGGTAAATGATATGTCCAAACATGATAATCATGATATGCGTGTCATGTAAAACATGACTACGTGCAACGCTCATAGTGTGCTCATGGCCATTTCGCTAGCTCTACATATATGGAATTTGGTATTATGTGGTGTGAATAGACGACGAAGGTAAATGACACGTTTAAACATGATAATCTTGATATGGGTGTCGTGTAAAGCATGACTACATGCTACGCTCATAGCGGGCTTGCGGTGGTTTTGCTAGCTTCACATATACCAAATTTAGTATTACGGGACCTGAAGGGATGATGAAGGTACACTCCTGTTGCAAACGTGATATTCATGAGATGCGTGTCATGTAAGAACATGTCTACATGCCAGGTTACATGATGCGCTCGCGGCCGTTTCGCTAGCTTCACATGTACCAAATTTGGTGTTACGTGACTGTCGAATGGATGTTGAAGGTATATGACTGGAGCAAACATGATAATCATGACAGCGTGTAGTGTATAATACGACATATCACGCTCATGATGCGCTCGTGGCCCTTTTGCTAGCTTCACATATACCAAATTTGGTATTACGAGACGTGAATGGACGACGACGGTAAATGACTCATCCAAGGATGATACGTAATTATGACATGCATCTCGTGTAAAACATGACTCTATGCTACGCTCATAGCGTGCTCACGGCTGTTTTGCTAGCTCCACATATACCAAATTTGGTATTACGTGATGTCAGTAGACAACAAAGGTAAATGACTCGTATAAACATTATAATTCATGATATGCTTTCATGTAAAACATGATTACATGCTACGCCCATAGTGTGCTCGCAGTCGTTTCGCTAGCTCCAGATATACCAAATTGGTATCGGGCGATGTGAATTAGCAATGTTCATAGACTGTCGTGCAGCCTAGCGTAATTCGGGAGCGTCCCCTCAAGGATGATAGTAGGCAGACGCTCCCAACGATCCCTTGTTTGGTGGCGCTAGCCTCAGTGTTAACACGTTTGCTAGGAATGAACACAAACCACTTTTTGTATATCGTGAATTAGTGAATATACCGAACCATCCTTGACACTATAAATCTGATTCGATCTTGCGAGAGGGGAAGTTTTTGTGAAAATGCGTGGCAACTCATGCTTTCGATTATAGCCTGCAGAGTACACATATCAGCTTCGCTAGATTTTCTGCAGCCACGTTGGATAATTATATGTAGTTGTATAGCCTCTTCCGTTGAAACTCGCGTGGTTTTACGTGCGTATAGCATTCGTCAGTGCGTTTGTAGTGCATGAATTTCGTAACATTTATTGTATGCGGAAAGTTGTGCAGGCTCGCAATTTGCACTTCCAAACCATTGGCCTACGCTGCGCCGCTTGTTTTTTGCGTTCGTTGATAGATGGAAGCATACTGCAAGCAATTATTTTCTTGCTGGGTATCGGAGCGAAATGTTCTCCGCACCCCCAGATAAACGTGGTAAGTGACACTGTGCTGGTGTTGTGCGTGGTGAATAATGCATTGTTGGTGCTATAGAAGTCGTTCGGCGGAAAGAATTCCTCAGATTACTTTCGGGGGTGATGTTCAAAGAAGCAGTCTTCATGTTGAGAATTTTTCACTGGACGCGTAGATGGTTGTTAACGTGCGGGTAGGGCAGCGACGATGAACAATCAGCTGCTAGCTCACAAGCAGCGAGTTGCACTTCACGTTAATGTTTTTTCATGCTCGTTAGTCATTTTTGTTGCACTTGTATAATATACTTCAGCGAGCTCAAAATAAAAACATAGTTTTTTGTGCAGTGTGATGTTGCCCAAATGCAGTGGATATCGCAAAGCAACGCATGCCACCAACACGCTCGAGCTTGATCAGTGAAGTGAAAGTGTTCAGCGCAAGAAATATGCAGTTATGACTACAGTCCATGCTACTTCTCCTGTAGCTCAGCGGCGCTGTCCGAAAGACGTTGTTAGATGAATTTTTACAGTTTTGACGTTGCGAAAAGCGTATGTGTGTATTCAGTTCCGATATCCTTGTTTCGATGGCCCTGATGGAACCTGTCACATCTGAGTTTAGCGAATTTCAGCACTGTTGGAGTCTGATCATGACTGTGACTCAAGCGCTACTTAATGGGAAGTGAAATGCTTGTATTTCGTTGAAGAAGCAGCTGTATGAGGCTTACAGCTCAAGTAATGACGACGGTGTGATATGTTTGCAAATCATCGCTACGTTAAACATTCCGCCCTGTGCAGCCGCGACGTCATGCTACTCCCTAGTAGCCTACTACTGCGGCAAATCCGCCAGACAAGGTCAGCACAAATTATCTCTGAGTGCCGTTGAGTGCATACGTGAATTCTAGTTCGTGCAGTTTTCTGTAGCATGCTCAGGATTACGCAAAGCATCGTTAATAAACGGTCGATC